CTAGGTGTCCTTCCAGGGCAACCACGACAGAAAGCCTGCAAGTGAAAGACCCCTACTCTATTGTAGTATTTTTTATTATTATTATTATTATTATTATTATTATTATTATTATTTGTGCTGAGAATTTAACCCAGGGCTTTGCACATACTAGGCAGGTACTCTACCACTGAGCTACAACCTCAGCCTTATTCTTATTCTTATTTTCCATTTCATTCTCCAACTTTGGTGGTGGGGGGGCAAGATTTGAAAGAGTACTGTTTTCTCAGTTGTGTGGTTGTAAGAAGGAAAATTTCTTATGGGATCAGGGATATAAGGAAGTCAGCATGGGACAGGAGGATTTCAGGCTGTCTTGGGAAGTGTGATTTGGGACATAAATTCTGGGAGAGGAAGTGGGAAGAGAAAGAGATGGGCAACAATGTCATGTTTAGAAATTTATCTCTGGCCACACTATCCACTTTCCCAAAGCCTCACCCTAAACCCTATTTTGAGAGAGAAAATAACAAAAGGGCCAGCAGGCCCAGACTCTGGTTCTGTCCCATCCTGACTTTGGAGTTTTATATTTGGAGGTCTTCCACTGATTGGTCATTAATCCAGTGAGTTATTGTCTGCTAAACAGAGGTCACTGGGAGAGAGACATCCAATCTGTCAGGAGAGAGTGTGCAGCCGCTCCCAGGGTACCGGGCTCCTGCTCCTCTCTTGCTTACTTCTCCCTCCCTCTCCAGCACCCCACTCTCAGCTGTCCAAGATTCAGTCTCTCCTCCTCTGCCCTCCTCAAAATCCCGCCCAGCTTTGTCTCTTCACTCCCGAGGGGTGGGGTTTGCCAGGCCTGGATAGAGCTTCTAGATGAGGCAGGATCCCTGATTCAGAACGGGATCTTTCACCACCAAAGAGACAGCCTGCTCCTATGTCACTCTGGCAGTGCCTCCCCCCCCTCCCATTAACATGTTCTGGCGTCGTCTGTGGTCACTGAGTAGACCTGGCAGACTTTTGCACCATCCTGTTTCTTCCTGGATTCGACTTGCAGCCTTGGCCTGAGAGCAGCACACCCATGTTTGGGGTAGGGTGGGGGGTACAGCTTGGCTTTTTCTTCTCCGTGGAGGCCTTTCCCCATTACCACCTCGGATTTGCGGATCTGCGCTACTGCTGCACAGCTCTCAGAGGCCTGGGTGGAGGTGCCAAATCTTCTCCTTCGGATGCCCCTTTTTTCTTTCCCACTCTCATTTTAGGGAGCTGTTGATTGGGGAGACAGATACTATCCCCGTAGCTTTACAATCCCCAGTGTTGAAATCTTTATTCAGATTTAAGAGAGAGAAATCTAGGTGAGTGTGTTAACTTTATACCACTCCACAATAGCCACAATGTTGTCCAGTTGGAAGAGAATGTGGGACAGGGAACCAGGATAGGGTCAGCAAGAAGCAAATCGCTAAATGCCTCCCAAGGTCCAGCTTCAGAGAGCTGTGAGGCTGGGGGATGGACCAGAGGAGTTTTCTGATGTTGAGCTAGGGGCAGAATCATTGGCCGCTCCAAGGATAAAACCAGAAACCAGTTTTAAAGAAGCCAGCCCCCCACCCCGTTTGCCCTTATTGAGAAAATTAGCTTTTTGATGGATTTTTTTGTGTGGGGGGGGGATGAGAGGAAAAGGCATGATCCCATCCAGGTTCATAAGGATTGGCAGCCAGCAATTGCTCACAGGGGTTCATAGAGCTGCTTGTCTCCCAATACTGGATACTGAGTGGCCCATGAGTGTCAGAGCCAGCGCTCTAGCTCTGTGGAGAGGAAAGCATGTCTATGATGGTGGACACATTTCCTAATCTTTACATTAACTATTTTCTGCCTTTATTAGTTTATATTAGTGTCTCTTATTCTTTCTCTCAAATTCTCTTTTCCAGTCTCTCTCTTTCTACCCCCCAATTTCTCTCTCTCTCTCTCACACACAGTTATCAAGTTTCCCTCCCTGAATCAAAAAAGAAACAATTCTCCTTTTCTCTATCTTTAGTTTGTCCTAATCTCTCCTTCCTCCCCCTCTTTTCCCAGACCCCACTGTCTTTCCTCAGATCTCTGAGTTTCCCCACCCCAATTTCCCTCCCCAAGCTCCTCATTGCTACCTTTGTCCCTAACCTGCAGTCACATTTCCAATGAAATGGGCACCCTGAGGGCTGTGTGTTCCCTCCTCTATCCACCCTCCAACTTCCGAGCCCCAATCAGAGGCAACTGAACTTCTGGTTGGAAACCTCAGAGAAAGAAAGAAAAAAGGCAAGAAAGAAACCGGACTGGGATCTCATTGCCTCCCAAGCATTCCAAATGGGTGCTATTCTGCAGAATTGGTTTAGAAGCCCTTGCTCCAGCTCCTACCGCATTTAGGGGTGTGTGTCCTCTGAAATTTTCTCCGGGTTTGTTTCTTGTTCCCTAGTCCTCCTTTTCACTCCTATCCTAAGATGTCCCATCGCCAGAGGGGACCACAAAGGGTTGAGGAGGCTGGAAAGGGAAGGGTCCCTACTGTTGCAGTTTCCACCCCTAGAGCTTGCTCTTCACCAAGCCCCATCTCCTCTCCTTGGCCGCAGCTGGCGGGGTGCCTTCCAGGCTCTCTTGTTATTCCTTGAGGCAAAACTGTGCCGTCCAGAGAACAATCAGGAGCACAAGTCCACAGTGATTTTCTTTAGCCAGTGGTAATATCTGTTAGAAGAGCTGAAAGATCTGAAGTACATTCTTTTTTTTTAAATTATTTTGGGGAGCAAGAGAAAAGATCCCAGAGTACTTGTTCCCTTACTCCTTGGCCTGAGTCCCTGACCCACCAGGGCCCAAAGTTACTTGCTGTCTAACTGTGCTGATCTCCAGTCACAATTTATAGATCTAAGAGCAGTTTCTTGCAGCCACATACCCAGATAGCCCTAATAGGTCTCCTTAGAGGTATCCTGGCTTGAACCCCAGTACTTCATCAGGCTTGGGCATTTTCTCCATATGAACACAGAAAATGGCTCCCACCCTCAATTTTACCCTAACTCCCAGTTGCCAATGCTCTAGAAAGCCGCCAGCTCTCCAGGATGGCTATAGGATCCTCAGGACAAAACAGTGAGGGCTCTGAAAGTGACTCTGTTGCTGGAGGGTAGGGAGGTCCACAGGTTCTCCCTGTCCCACAGGACCCTAGGAAACTGGCTGCTCCATCCCACCTGGCCTGACTTGGAGGGCCTGAAAAAGAGTGGGGACCAGAGGCTAGGGACCACCCCTTTCTCACCCATAAAGCAGAGCTTGTGAGTGGGGAGTAAGAGGGTATGAGGGAAGCATTGGCAGAATCAGATATAGCTACCCTCTTCTGGAGGGGAGACAATAGCTGGAAGTCATCTCTCACCTTTGTTTTTCCCAGTCTCATCGCCTGTCCTGGTGCATCCAGATGAGAGAAGGCAAAAGAAAAGTATTTAACCAGGAAATCACAGGATGGTGGCAGGCTCTGTCTACACGAAGTTAAGAGAACCCGCTTCCCAGGCTGCCTTTGTAGAAGAGACTGCCTGCCCTCTATTTTATCCCCGAACCCCCGAGTCAGCAGTTAAAGAGAGTTGCAAACACTCCTGCTTGGGGAAATGTCCTAGTGCTTTCTGTCTTTTTCCTTGGCTAGGAATGGTTCATCCCCACCCCCGCCTCAAATCTGCAGACACCTACATTTTTGGCTCTTGTCTTCCTCCTACAGGCCTCCCCCCTTGCCTTTTCCTGGCCTGCTCAAACACGCCCTAAGAAAACTTTAGCTTTTGTAGCCTTCCTCACTTGTGCCAAGAGTCGTAAATCTTGCACAGCTGAGAGAGGAGAGAAACAAACAGGTTTGCTCAGAATAATAACAAAAACCATCTTCCATCTCTTCTACATGCACATTTAAAATGAAGCCCTGCTAGTTTTCGTCTTCTCAGAAGTACAAATGTCCTTATCACCTCTTAGCTCTTCTGCCTATCTGGAGGTGAGAATCCTAACAGAAACTTCTCTGTGAAGTTCTTACTGTCTGGAGTTCAAACTAAACTTCAGGGTACTTCTTTTGTACTCTCTCCTCAAACCCACACCCCCTGCAAGATGTTCTGGGTTTTTAAAATCGTCACTCACTGCTTTACCCCCTCCCCTGTTAGAGACTGGGCCTAGAAATTTGAGGGGAAAGGACAGAGAGGTTGTGGAAGACAGAAGCGAAAAGAAAAGTGGGAGACTAAGGAGGGAGTCAGAGGGAAAGAGAGGGCAGGAGACCTAGTAGCCTCAATCCAGGAGAAGTAAAACTACTTAAAAAAAAAAAGTCCTGGTGTTCCAACTGTGAATGAGTGTGGAGGGGCACCCAGCACCCTCAGGCCAGGCCAGTCTTTCACTAAGCCTCCAGAGGCCACTTCTCAAATTAGCATAATGGTTCACTCTTGGGGTTTGGGGGGTAGCTTTGAACTCCACCAGCTCTCCTTCATCTCTTCTTTCTCTCCCCTTCTCAATTTAAAAATCTACCTATTCTTAAAAAAACAAGAACAAAACACTTCTACCTTCTTTCCTTCTCTTTTTTTTGGGGGGGGGTATTTAAAATTCCCCCCTCCCCCATCACCACCATCACCTTCTCTCCTTATCAGGCATCTAAGCTTGCTAAAGGGGGAGAGGTGGGGGTGTGTGTGAGCTTGTGTGTGAGTGAGTGAGTGTGTGTGTGTCTGTGTGGTTTTTTTTCCCTGTGCAAAAGCAGAGGCCATTGTTACCGAGAGTAGGGCGTACCAGTCTTATAGGGCAACCACACTGTGGCGGCTTGGCCGTGCCGGAGCCTGGAGCTGGATTCTCGGCGAGCGAGCCGCCCCGGCACCTTTCGGTCTTCTATTTTTTTCCCCCGCTCCCCCACCCCCTCCCTCCTGCGCACCCCCGCTCCTAAGCCGAGTGAATTGAAGCGGACGCCGCGCGGCTCCTCTGGCCGGTCTGCCCCTCGGGCTCCCCAGCCGGGGTGGCTTTGGGGAGGGGGGGCGACGCAGCTTTAAACAGTGGTCTTTTTTTCCTTTGCCTTCAAGGAGGGGAGATTTCTCGCCTACCGCTCGCGCTGGGGCTCGATGTGAATATATATTATGTCTGCCTGTTCTCCCCTCGTCGGTGGCTAAGGTAAGCTGGACTGAAATAGGCTATCAGTTTGTGAATGGCGGAGAGTATGTCTCAATGATTTATGGCCCATATGACTCCAATCTCGGTTCAAGAAGAGTTCACAAGCTTTAAGCTTCCTTCCACGCAGCGACTGACTCTCTCTCTCTCTCTCCCTCTCTCCCCCTCTCTCCCTCTCTCTCTCCCTCCCTCCCTCTCTCTCTCTCTCTCTCCCTCTCTCTCTCCCTCTCCCTCTTCTTTCCTGCTTCTCTCTTTTTCTGCTCTCTTTTCTTCCAGCAGCCAGATCCAGGGCTGAAATTTCCCCCGGTTGCTAAGAAGAGCCTAATCTTTCTCTCTCGCCTTTTCTTATTTTATTTTCTTTACTTCCATTTTTATTATTATTATTTTTTTAAGTCCTGAAAGGTGGCCTGTGGTTTCTCCTGGGGCTTCACCAAGCTATTGTTACCCTCCTTGGCTCTCCCTGGGGTACGCCTGGCAAGATGATTTTTTTTTTTTTTTTGGTGGGGCTTACCTCCCTTCTCCAGCGAGACCCAGGGGGAAAGCCTGGAGCCACCGTCTCCCTCCCACCCCTCCGTGGAGCCATATGGAGCCTGAATTTTTCCAACATGGAGGCAAGGGAAATAGACAGTGTTTGGCTGGGTAGAGCTGTTCCCCACCCCCTCTTCTCCTGGATCCCAGATCTCAGATCCCCGCAGCACCTTCCCTCTTCCCACAGTCCTGTCAGCCAGGCCTCGGCGCCCTCCAGCTGGGAGCCCAGCTGGGCAAAGTCCCGGTGCAGAGTTGCTAAGGCGCCTTTTAATTCGGTTACCTCCAGCGCCCAAACTTGCCGCTGCAGGGCCGGCCCGGTGTGCTTGGAACCTGTCGGCTGCTAACCCTTTTCGTGTCCCGATCGCTTTCTCTTCGCTTCCTTGGGCCAGCGTAGGCGGCGGGTAGCTCATCGCCAGCCTTTGCGGCAGCAGCGGCGGAGACAGCCGGGGGCTCTCCCGGTGCACAAACCTTCCCGGCCCTGTATCACCGCCGGCGGAGTCTCCATTCTTTCCTATTACGTCTCTGGCTCCTTCGCTTCCCACACTCGCCTGGCCTCCGTCCTGCGATGGTTTGGGGTTTATTGCAGGGGAAGCAACAGAAATTTCGGCCTCAGGCGTCTAGTCAAATTATTGTTTATTATTATTATCATCATCATCATCATCATCATTGCTGTAACAATCATTTAGACTAAATAAAGCCAGGGCCCACCCAGCTAACCCCCGCCAACGTTTTTATTTCATTCTCTTCTCTATCTATTAATAACAAACTCAACTGACGCCTGTTAATTAATTCCCCCTTCAGCCAGGGCTGCTCCGAAGCTAATTTTGGTTAAATCATCAGAGGATAATGGTAATAATAATAAAGGGATTGGGTCAGCCTGGTCAATTGAACTCCAGTTCTCCTTGGAAGGACCTGCTGCTTTGCAGACCCATGTGCATTTCCAGAAACAGATTCTTCCCAGAAACCAATCGGAACTCACGACTGCACCGCCTTTCTTTTGAGTATAAATCTGTACCGTTAAGAATGGGATTTATGTGTGGGAGGGACTTCCTTCACCTTCACTCCTTTCATTTTACTTTCCTAATTTTAGTTTTCTTTGGAGTTGACCAGCTAGGCTGAATGAGATTTAAGTTTTCAAAACACACGTGACAGAAGAGAGAATCAGTCTGGAGGTTTTATAAAAAGTGGTGATGAGGAATTTGGACAGAAAGGGGGAAAAAAGAAGCCCGACGAAGCTTAAGAACAAATACACAAAATCCTATCACACTTTTAGGCTTAGTTTCCTGGAACATTTTTAAAAGGCTGTATTTATATAGTGATTATATTTTTATTTTTGCTTCAAAGAACCCCAGTAAACAGGAGTACCCTCTGTTTCCAACCCAGAGAATAATGTTGTTCAAATTGCTCTTTGGATTTTTTTTCTCCAAAACATTTTTCTCTTTTGGAAAGCATATTTTCCATCTAAGTAGCAAAGTCCAGCAGTTGCACAATTTAGTTTTCTTTCCTTATTTTCTTTTGGAGAAATCAAAGAAAACAGACTTTCAAGAAAAAGGTGGGGGAAATTGTCTGATGATTTAAAAAGAGGGGTGGAGAGAGAGACCTGGGCCAAATGGTCACAGCTCCAAAGGGCCCTGTCTGGGAAACTGAAACAATCTTGTTCCATTTGGAGGCTCTGCAGGGGCCATTGGCCACTGGTCCTAGGCCTGATTGAGCAATGACAAAAACTGGAGGTGGTGGTACCTGCAACAGGATCACGGATGGCAAGAACTCAGTTATGCTGGCTCTTGGGATTAAAATCTTCAAGGATTTTCTAGGTCAGGCTGTTGTCCTCTTTGTGAAGGGCAGGGTGGGAAGAAAATGGTATCTCACAGAGGGTTCCCTGATGAACTTGCTTCTTACTCTTGTCTTTGTCGGAGATCCCTTGGTTTCCTCTGGACTAGACTTTGCCTAAGTGAAAGGATATAGATGGAGGTAAGGCAGAAGGCAGAGAGGCCTCTCAGCTCCAAGGAAGGCATTCATGAGCTTTTTGGAGTCTGCTAATGCCCCATCTCTTGAGCCACTCTACCTCAGAGTTGGGAGAGGCTTGGGGGGAGGGAGGAAGAGAGAGAGAGAGAGAGAGAGAGAGAGAGAGGGAGGGAGAGGTCAGGGGCTAGTGCACAGGCAGGAGAGAAGCAAGAGCCCACGTAGCAGTAGGATTCTACTTCTTGGCACTCCCCAAAGGAGTATAATCTTGATTTTTTAAGTGGAAATGAAAAATAGTGGAATTCATTTTTTAAATTTAAAGTGCTGATATACGAAAAACCTACTTCAGGTCAGAGACATGCCTCAGCATCTGCTTTGGAGATGTTGAGAAGGGGAGAAGAAAAAAACCCTATTGATGTCAGTTCCCTTTTCAGTTCCTAAGATGGATTCGAGCCCCAGTCCTCTTCTCCCCCTTGTGTCTCTTCTCTCCCCCCGCAGGTCAGCCGCTTGCAACAGTCCAGGGAGGAGGGGGGCAGAAAGGGGAGGGGGGGTCCGGCGTGTCACGAGACCCCCGGGGGTGCCAATGTCCGGTCGTGAGGGTATCAGGCCCTTGCAAGTTGCCATCCACTGCCCGGGCCTCGCCCAGCGATGCAGAAAGCCACCTACTACGACAACGCCGCGGCTGCGCTCTTCGGAGGCTACTCCACGTACTCTGGCAGCAATGGCTTCGGCTACGACGGCCCCCCCCAACCCCCCTTTCAGGCCGCCACGCACCTGGAGGGTGACTACCAGCGCTCAGCGTGTTCTCTTCAGTCCCTGGGCAACGCCGCCCCACATGCCAAGAGCAAGGAGCTCAACGGCAGCTGCATGAGGCCCGGCCTGGCCCCTGAGCCCCTGCCCGCCCCTCCGGGCTCACCCCCGCCCAGCGCCGCACCTACCAGTACCACTAGCAACAGCAATAATGGGGGCGGGCCCAGCAAAAGCGGCCCCCCCAAGTGCGGTCCCGGCTCCAACTCCACCCTCACCAAACAGATATTCCCCTGGATGAAAGAGTCGAGGCAAACGTCCAAGCTGAAAAACAGCTCCCCCGGCACAGGTACCAGCTCTCTGCCTTCCTCGTCATCAGCTTTTGTCAGGTCCAGGAATGTCACTGTTATTCTAGCACCCAGCCCCTAGGCGCCCAGGAGGCGGCCTGGGAACAATATTAGGTCGCGGGCCGTGCATTTTTGGTATCCCCCCCACCTGATGACCCCTGACCCTGCCAACATCCTGTCCCTTCAGCTAACCTTCACCCGGGCTCTGAGAGCTCTGGGAGGTGGGGCGCTTGGCCTCAGAACTCTTCCCTAGGCCGCAAAGCCAAGAGGCACTGCCAGGAGTCGTCAATGATTATTATTAAGTATGATTACTGTGGGTATTAATCACAATCGCTCTGGCGGCCCAGATTCCCGGCCTCCAGGCACCGCTGTCTCTTCACACCATACTTAGGGGGTCTGCCCATGAGTGCCAGTCCAGTTTCCCGACAGGTTCTCCCCAGTCACCCATCCTGTCCAAAAGACAGAGGGAGGGGATGTGTTCCCCAGACCAGGAATTGGGGACAAGGGGGAGAAAGCCCGCACGCAAAAATCCAGTCCTAAATAAATGGCCATGCAGCTCTGTCTGCGTGACATGATCAAATTTTCATAAGCTGGGGCAGTGAGAGGAGAACAGGTCTCTTAATAAATGCCACTATTATAGAGTGTCCGCTAATGCGACGGGCGGTGGGGGGGGCAGGAGGAGGCGGGGACGCGAAGGGGAGGGCGGCGGGGGCTCTGAGTCCAGGCCTAGATTTATTAAGAAACGATGCATTCAATTTCGGCGTGTTCAGTAATTATCTTTTATTTCATTTTCTCCCCTTCCCACCCCTCCTCCTCGGATCCAGCAGAAGGCTGTGGTGGCGGTGGCGGTGGCAGCGGCGGCAGTAGTGGAGGCAGTGGGGGCGGCGGCGGCGGCGGCGGGGGAGGGGACAAGAGCCCCCCGGGGTCGGCGGCGTCCAAGCGGGCGCGGACCGCGTACACCAGCGCGCAGCTGGTGGAGCTGGAAAAGGAGTTCCACTTCAACCGCTACCTGTGCCGGCCGCGCCGCGTGGAGATGGCCAATCTGCTGAACCTCAGCGAGCGACAGATCAAGATCTGGTTCCAGAACCGGCGCATGAAGTACAAGAAAGACCAAAAGGCCAAGGGCCTGGCCTCATCGTCTGGGGGACCGTCTCCAGCCGGCAGCCCCCCGCAGCCCATGCAGTCCACCGCTGGCTTCATGAACGCCTTACACTCCATGACCCCCAGCTATGAGAGCCCGTCCCCGCCCGCCTTCGGCAAAGCCCACCAGAATGCCTACACGCTGCCCTCCAACTACCAGCCCCCTCTCAAGGGCTGCGGCGCCCCGCAGAAGTATCCCCCGACCCAGGCGCCCGATTACGAGTCCCACGTTCTCCAAGCCAACGGGGGCGCCTACGGGACGCCCACCATGCAGGGCAGCCCAGTGTACGTGGGCGGGGGCGGCTACGCGGATCCGCTGCCGCCCCCTGCCGGCCCCTCCCTCTACGGCCTCAACCACCTTTCCCACCATCCCTCTGGGAACCTGGACTATAACGGGGCGCCCCCTATGGCCCCCAACCAGCATCACGGACCATGCGACCCCCATCCCACCTACACAGACCTCTCCTCTCACCACGCGCCTCCTCCTCAGGGTAGAATCCAAGAAGCTCCCAAATTAACACACCTGTGATGGGAGAGGAAGGGCGGAGGGGCGAGGTCAAGGGCAAGAGGGGGGCTGCGGAGCTCAGAGGGGCGGCCTGGAGGTCTGAAAGAGGGGTTAGGGAAGTAGTTGCTAGGCTCCCAGGACAAGGGACTTGGAGCTCCTTCCCTGCTCCCTGGCTTGAGGGGTTGTTTTAAAGTCCTTCATCCCTTGTTCCATCTGCCTGCCAACCCATTGGAAAGGAATCCACGGCAGATTGGAGATGACCCCTTCAACCCCAGGCTCCAGCACTACCAAGTTGGAATTCCATGCTGGAGAGGGAGTGTGGTAGAAGAAGTTGAGATAGGAAAACAAGGCAGAGAAGCACATTTAAAAAAAATAAAAAAAAACAAAACAAAAACAAGCAGACAAGATGGCTAGGCCATGACCAACCAACCTACTTACCTTCCACCTCTGTGGATAATTCCCCCAAATCTTGATTTCCCCCCTCTCTTTCTCCTTAAGAAAATAATAAGACACATATAAGCCCAAGGACAGAAAGCACGTTCTCCTCCCACTTCCCAGAAACCTCAAATTTGCTTCCATCTATTTGAGGTTTCTTGGGGTATGCCCTCCGTTTCTAGCCCCATGATTTTCTGCTCTAGGACTTTCGTATCTATACCCCTTCTCCATCAGTTACAGTTTTTAGAGGGCTCAGGGATGGTGAGAGATCCTGAAAGTCAGAGCTGCCTATAGTATAAATATATATATTTTTTCTTTTTAGGAAAAGTTAGGAGGCTAAGGCAGGCAAGGACTGAACATTTGCCTGTTCCACGGCCTCTCCTCTCAGCTCCAGGTCCATCCCCCTCTCTCCACAGAAAACAATCGGCCACATAAGGTTCTCCACTTTACTTTTCTTCTGTTGCTCTCTTACTTAACGTGGAAACAGGGTATATTTGAACAAACTGTCTGTCCCAGGCAGGGGCTGCAGCTTGGCCTGTGTGCTTTGCTCAACCTCCTGACAGGACACTTTTGTTGCACTTAGAGTTTACATTTTAATGGATATAAAAACAACTGTGAGAGATGCCTAGGCCTGCAGAAGTCCAGCATCGCTCAAAAAGTGTGTGTTCTAGTGAACATTTTCATATATATTTATTGGTTATAGCCTGTTAAAATATTTTCTTTTTGTATTATTTATCCCCCCTACATTATGTATTTATATGAGGAAAAAAAGGAAAAATTGTACTTTTTTAGTATTTACTTGTTATAAGGGACATTGTGTTTTCTGTCATGTAAAACCAGCTATTTTAGTTTTTATCGTACTCTAGGAAAGAGCTGTAGATTTATGTTAAACTCGTACTTATGAGCAATTGTAATTAGTTCTAAAAGGCATGAACTCAGCTCCTAATCGTCACTGTATAGTCTTGAATTTGTAGAGTTAGAGTTAATTCCCTCTTGGAACTTTCTTTGTTCTTCTGTAGTTACTTTTTTTCCTTAAAAGAGTTGTCTGTCAAACAATTCTTGAATAAACTTTCTGTTATCAATTTTATCTTGTCCTGGTGGTCCAATTTAGATAGCAGAGCAAGGCTTCTGACTGCCAAATTTCCCCCATGGGAAGGAGGACATTGAAGATTCTTTCCTAGTCCACTGCTCAGGATCCTATCTCCCCCTTGAAGTTTTTCAGGTTTAAATATAGTTTTTCTCACTCATAAGAACCCGGAACACATTCTGTCAATTTTTTTAGCTAAGGTTAAGTAACAAGTTGTGGAAGAAAGGGGGCTCTTGGGTGCTCTCTGTGGGTCTTTTTGTTTAACCTCTTTGCCTCTCAGTTTTTCTCATCCATTGACCTTTTGTCTGCTCCCCCCTTTAGCCGCAATCTCTCTTCAATCCCTCCCCCCACCCCCAGGAAAAAAAAAAATCTGGCCATTTACTGCTTCTTCCACAGAACCTAAACTTCACAGTCGTCTTCCGGAGCTACAAAGAAGTCATCACGTGACCCGAAGCCCAACAACCATTGGGTCTAAAATGAAAACAAAGGAAAATGATTAATCTAAAAAAAAAAAAAAAAAAAAACTGAGGCCTAGACTTCTTAGGTCAAACCTTAAAACTAAAGTGAAATTAAATCACTAAATAAAACTTGGGGCAGAGGGAGAGAGGACAAATCCTCTTGCCAGGGAAAGAGCAAAAGAAGGTGGAAGAAGCTGTTGGATCCAAGCRTAAATAAAATGGTCCCCAGGCTAATGTGCGGCTGTTTCCAGGATCCTTGGGAAAACTTCATTTCTTAGTCGGGGTTCCATAAAAGTTTTATCACACTGGAGCGAGGATAGAGAGGGTCTGTCAAAGATGAAATGTCACCGCCGCGTCGCTGGAGCCGATAAGAGCGAGGAGACAGGGTGGCTGAAATATGGAGCTAATTCGTTGAAAGAGAAGCGATGCCTGCTTGCTGAAGAGTTGCATAATTCTAATTGTAAGCGATGCGCCCGCATTGCTTAATTAGGAGCATATATTTGGTGGTAGTGGTGGTTGTGGGGGTGAGAATCATTCCAGGCCCTCAGCCTTAAAGCAGGGCTGATTTTCATTTTTATGTTGCATCCTGGCAGTCCAAGGTTAGTAATTACAGTCTTTATGCAACAATAAATAACAATAAAAAAGCAACCTGAATTCTGCATCCCCCCCACCACACCAAGTAGGATTTTAACTGGACGGCTCATCCAGGCAGCAAGCAATTTAGCATTAGGTCAGGCTATAATTTAAAGGCAGAAGAGCGTGCAAAGTTTGATTGGGATCAAATAACGCTCAAGGGTCTTTCTTTCTCTCTGTCTTCCTTCTTCTCTGAATAACATGTTCTGAATGATGTAACTAGATGAAACGCCATGTTTGGCTCTGGGGGTGGGGTGGATTGCTTATTTTGCTAGCCAGAGAGAAAAGCAGGCCAAGAGAGAGAATTTAACTAGAGGATGAAAAAGCAGAGCTTTGGTTTGAAGCTGGAATGGTAAATAAGAAAAATAAGATGGACCTGGCTTAGCGTCCTTCTGTTTTCAAGATTCCGGTTGCTCAGCTAAAACAGTCAAGATGTGGGTAAAATATCTTTGCTTTACCATTCAGCATGCAGGAGAGTGGGGGAGGGATGTCTCCCAGAAGGAGGGCTCTCTTGGCCCCTTTTAACACCCAAGTTTTCCGTTGTTCACTAATCTGGCCATAAAATCTGTCATCGAGGGTTAGAGAGTTGTATTTCCTGCGCAGGGACAGTCTTGGCCTGGATTGCCTAGGGAAGCCCTGGGTCCTGCAGCCAGCTAGAGGGGCTGTTAGAAAACCTRCAGTGATGCCCAAGGGGCTGACCAGAGAGTGAATCCTTATTCAGGCCTTCCTGCACAGCTACTGTTTGGATTCTTCCCTGCCTACCCTTATCCACATCTCCAAATGGCAAAATGGTTTTCTTTGGAGTTGAATTGCACATCACCCTCTGGCCAGTTGGCCTAGTTCAGAGCAGCTCTCCATGTTCTGAGAGCTCTACAGTCTGTCCCTGCAGCCCCCACCTTCAGCCCCCCCCCTTTCCAACCTTCTCTTCTCCACCCCCACCCTTCTACTCAGACTTCTGGGCCCTTCTTTTTAAATACTCACCACCTCCCACGCGGATGTTACATTGACAAAGTTTCTAGCTCCAGCTCCCAGCTGAGTTGCCATTTCTCTGCTAACCAGCCTTCTCCTTAGGGCTGGGTTGCAGTGAACCAGTAGGGGGAGGGGAGGCCAGAGTCGTGGGAGTTCTCCAGGCAAACTTTCCACCCAACTCAGCGCCTTCCCTCTGTCCCCATTTCCCATCTGTTTCCTGGCTCTCCCAGAATCACCTTTCTCTATTGCCACCCCCTCCCCTCAGGCCTTTTTAAGGGATGTGGAATTTCGGCTGTTCCCTCTGCTTTCCCAAAGAGACAAATTCTTTGATGCAATCGGAGGGAGCTGTCAGGGGGCTAAGATTGATCGCCTCATCTCCTCTTGGTCCCTCTGACCCACTCATTTAAAAATCTTCCCCCAGATCGACTTTTCATTTTCTGCTTTGAGGCCTAGTTTCCCACCAACTGCTTGTGGCTCTACATCTTGTACCTCCTTCCTCTAGTAAATTGTAGCATTCTCTAAAGTTCAGACTATCTTGGTCCCCTCAAAATAAATAAATAAATAAATAAATAAAGTCCCACTCCAGGGGCCAGAATCATCTCAGTGGTCATATTTCCACTCCCTCCATCTTCAAGAATTCCATTTTTCTTGCCTAGATTTTTTTTTCTTATGCTAGCACAATGGCAAAAGTGGAAAGGAAAGTCTTTTTGTCCCACTAGGGACTGCTACCCCTCCCCCCCCATAGGCAATGACCTGAATTTTGAGAGTTATATGATTGGTTCTTGTTCATRCCCCTAGATATGGATACAGAAAAGGCTTGGGGTTAAGTGGGCATATATGCACCTTCAACCCTCCTGTTGCAGGAGTGAAGGACTTATAATAGATAAGTATAAATCCCCAAGAGGAAGGCAATGGACATAAGGAGTTGTGCTGTAAACACTGGGCAGAGAAGGGAACCCAAGCCCTACAGTTATGGAGGCCAGTGGGCAAAAATGCTGTGGAGGTACCTGAACATTTCCCAAGATTTAACAGTTGCTTTAGGGGTTGGGATGGGAGTGGTGGTGATGATGATTATAAATCTCTTCTGTTTCTTAATCACACCTCAACACTGTTCTTTCCTAAATGGAGGAAACATCTTTCCATTCCTTCTTCCTCCCATAGAGATACTCTCTCATCTGTGTGTGTGTGTGTGTGTGTGTGTGTGTGTGTGTGTAAGATAGTGCTTGCTATGTAATAAAAAAAAGTATTAATTTACTTCATTAAAATCTTTAGAAAGGAGGAAAATTTCTCCTTCTGATTTGATCTGTTCCTGCAACCTTACAAGGGTGGAAGGAGGAAAGGTCCCTCTAGATTTTCTAGAGAAAGGGAGTCATTGGGGAGACACCGGTTTAGGAATGGGGGACTCATGGTGTCCAGGTCGTGGTCCTCTGGAGTTTTTGAATCAATTAAAGCAAATAATGCTCTGTTTTCCACCAGGCCCAGCCGAGCGATTGGCCAAGGCCGGTCCCGTGACCACGAATTCCCTGCAATTTCGTCGGAGTCCTGGGTTTAATAGAGAGAGTCCCCATACGCTTGTATTTATCAGCAATATACAATTATAAAGGCCCAAATTTTAAAAAAAGAAAGAGAGCGAAATCTCCCCCTCCCAAAATCGTTCCATCGCACAAACCTGGGGGGGGCAGGAGGGGGGGTCCCTTCCGATCCTCCCTCCTGACGCCCCCCCCAGCAGGCCCCCTCCCCCACCATTGAAAGCCATGAATTTTGAATTTGAGAGGGAGATTGGGTTTATAAACAGCCAGCCATCGCTCGCCGAGTGTCTGACTTCCTTCCCCGCTGTCTTGGAGACATTTCAAACTTCATCAATCAAGGAGTCGACATTAATTCCTCCTCCTCCTCCTTTCGAGCAAATCTTCCCCAGCCTCCAGCCCGGCGCCTCCACCCTTCAGAGACCCGGGAGCCAAAAGCAAGCCGAAGATGGGCCTGCTCTGCTGCCACCGCCGCCGCTCCCCACCGCCCCCCCAGCCCCCGAGTTCCCCTGGATGAAAGAGAAGAAATCCGCCAAGAAACCCAGCCAATCCGCCGCGTCCCCTTCCCCGACTGCCTCCTCCGTCCCGGCCTCGGGGGTCGGATCGCCTGCAGGTCGGTAAGCGTGTTGGGGGTGGGGTAGGGTGTAACTAGAAGACAGAGGGAGAAAGAGTAGCGGGGGAGGCCAAAAAAAAAAAAAAAAAAGCAAGCCTGTTGGGGTTCCCTTGCTCGGTCAATTCTCGGGATGGGGAAGCAGAATGTCCCGCCGAGGCTCAGGCCTGGCCGCTGCCAGATTATTTTTTCCTACAGTAGATTTGGAAACTGGTTGGTGAAGAGTCCTCCCCCCCCCCAACCCTATGGTAGAAGAAAAGGATTCGATTGAGGAATCTGTGTAGAGGAATGAATGTTGTTGTTGAGAATGAATCTGGGGCAGGAAAAGATGCGATCCTCCTCCCTCTCCCAACCCGAGGAGGGCAAATTTGAGAGCTAGAAAGGAAAAGAGGTGAAGAACAATCTGTGAAAGCTCTCCCGGGGTTGAGTTTGAAAGTTCATTGGGAAGGGGTATCTGAGATTCTGGGAGAGAAAAGGAACCGCTCCCCGCCCTCTCTGTGGCCCGCGGCCGGCTCTGAATGCTTTGCCCTAACCCTGGCCAGGTCTGYCATCGAGGGAGGGAGCGGAAAGAACCGAAGAGTAGTGAGAGCAAACCGTTTTGCTGGGGGTGGGGGTGGGAAAGGGAGGCTCCTGATATTGTTTTTGGAGGATGGGGTAGTCTTGATCTCTGCTGAAGTGAAGTTGGGATGAAGACAGGACCCGCTGTGACGCCCAGCCTGCTTTTCAATAGATGGCCCCGGACTGCCCGACTCGGGCTGCGGCGGGGCGCGCAGGCTGCGCACCGCCTACACCAACACGCAGCTGCTGGAGCTGGAGAAAGAATTTCATTTTAACAAGTACCTGTGCCGGCCTCGTCGGGTGGAGATCGCGGCCTTGCTGGACCTCACCGAAAGGCAGGTCAAAGTCTGGTTCCAGAACCGGCGCATGAAACACAAGAGGCAGACGCAGCACCGAGAACAGCCCGACGGGGAGCCAGCCTGYCCCGGTGTCCTAGAGGAAATTGGAGACCCAGCTGAGGAACCAGCGGCCAGCCCGGGAGGCCCCTCTGTTTCTCGCGTGGTGCGGGAAGCCTGCCTTTATCCCGCCGAAGTGGCGCCGGGCCCCCCAGGCCCTGAGCCTTTGGCAGCTCACTTGGAGGGTGCGGGTGCTCAGAGCCCTGACTGCGCCCTGCGCAGAGCCGGCGGCCTGGAGCCCGAGTCATTGCCAGAAGACGCTTTTCCGGAGCGGCAAGATTCGCCTTTCCTGCCCGAGCTCAACTTCTTTGCCACCGACTCTTGTCTCCAACTGTCCGGAGGCCTTTCCCCCAGTCTACAGGGCTCGCTCGACAGCCCAGTCCCCCTTTCCGAGGAAGAGTTGGACTTCTTCACGAGCACGCTTTGTGCCATCGACCTGCAGTTTCCCTAACCCGTTTCATCCCCCGACCCTTTCCACCCCCCCGTCCTCCACTGCGTCTGTTGGGAAAATCGAGTTTCCTCCACCCCAATTGCATTTACTTATGTGTTTTGCTAAAATTCAGGTATTATTGAATTAGTGTTTAATCTACTTCCTTTTTTTTTTGTTTCTCTTTTTAAAATCACACAGATAAACTCCGTTTGTTAGACTACTTCCAACGAAATCTCAGGAATAATTAAACTTGGGGGGGGTTCTTAAAAGGAATTAGAGGGACCTATTTTCCTCTTTTTTTTTTTACGTTTTAGACTGTAGTTTATTTATTAAAATTCTTTAATAATAGGAAAAGGGGAAAGTATTTATTGTACATTATTTTCATAGATTAAATAAAATGTCTTTATAATATGAAAACGAGTGTTTGTGTTGGGACCCAGCCCTTTCCCGGTCCCCAGGGCCCCTTCTCACTTCTCCAGGACCCATATGAGGTTGATCTGGTTCAGTGGCCCAAGCCGTGGCAAAGACCAGGGTCTGGCAAAGTCCGGGTGGTACAAAGGTACCGTTTGTTGGCCATTTCTTGACCCAGGGCTTCAGGACGAGTGGGGATTTCCTCGATGCTTGGTCACCTTGTCTCMAAACCGACAAGGTCTTGCACCAGGTTCCCAGTGACTCTCCTTAGAAATAAAGGTGGACGGTGGAAAGAGAGGGTGTGCTGTGAGCAGAAGAGGATGCAAGGAGAGGAAGCCTCAGGGACAGGCCTCGTGAAAGCAGAGTTTTTGCTTAATTAGGAGGGGGTCCAAGGGCTTCCCAGACTTCCGTGCCCTAAGCCGGTGGAGGGGCTTTTTTAGGAACTTCAGAAGCCTGGGGACGCGAGGCCTGGGATGTGGAGCCAGACTTCCTAGGGGCTGTCGGTGGCCACGGAGTGGAGAAGGGTTTTCTTGAAAAGCTGGGGCCGTTGTCCAGAAATGGTAACAACTGGCCTCCAAGTGGACAAGAAAAGAGGCCGGATGAGAAATGTGGCGCGGCCGAACACCGATGTTCCTAGGTCTGTGCTGTCAACCCGGGGTCCTGGGAATGGAAGAGCATCCCAGGAGCCGCAGGGGCAACAGGACGAGGCAATCGGAAGGCGTTCAGGGAAGGAAGGAATAACGAGGAGCGTGGGAGGGAGATGGGAATGCAAGGAAGATGCTCAAAATGGCGCTGGGGCCAGGCAGCCGGGAGGGCGAGGGAAGAGATTGTGGCGGCCATGACAGCCGCTGCTGGACGCGCTGCTGGATRGGTCCAGTCCCCGTCCGCCCCCACCTTCTCCCTGAGGGATGTTCCAGCTCGKAGGGAAGGAAAGAGAGCCTGGGAGCCGGATTTTTTTTTTTTTTTTTTAATGGGCCCAATGGATGCTGAGGACCCGAGATGGAAGGAGAATCCGCGTGGGGTGTGGGAAGGGGGATGGCAAGTGGGGGGTCTTGGGGCCTGGCTCGGCCTCGCCAAGTATGACTTTTCATCATGCGCTCTGGGATTTGAAGCCCGGCCAGAGCTTTCTCCAAATGCAGACCCACCTGTCTTGGCCAACAACTTCATTTGCCTTCTCAACACCAGTTCCTACACCCCCACCCCCAACCCCCACCCCGCGCCCTTCCTGGCTCCTGGTATAGCTGGTAAGCTCGCTGCAAGGATCGATCTCCCCCCATCTGCTTCCTGGTTTATTCTCGCGAACATAGAGATTTAAAGGACCCTGGAAAGCCATTCATCGTCCTTCGGTTTATTTAATATTTCTCCGGCTCAGAAACAGACACCGCGGGGCTACCTCCCTGGCAGATGCTGCAGTTCTTTGAAAGCAGTTTATTTCCTGGGCCTCTTAGACTTTCCCCTGCACCAGCAGGATGGGGACTTAGAGTACCAGGCACCGAGAGGCAGCAACTGTCAGAATAAGCCAAGAGCCAGCATAGGTGGTGACATATAGGACTAGGCAGGCCCAACGAGTATTTCTTTAACTGGCCCCTCAGTGCAGGAAGTACACATATTTTATTCAGCTGGAATTTAATTCCTTAAACTGTCTTAATATAGAATTCATCTCGTGCATTAAATAATCTTATGTCATGTTAAATTGCAGTTATTTCTTTCATAAATAAATTAATATAGAACAATTAGATGTGTTATTGTAATAATATCGTGTATCTTATTAGTTTATTTTCCCTCATAAAATATATAGGTATGAAATAAATTCAATATATTAAAGTAATAATACACAGCTTATTGGCTTGTGTGTTTATTTTCCCCATAAATAAGTGAATATACAATATATTAAAACCACACTATACATCTCATTGGGCTGTGTGTTTATTTCTCCATAAAATATGCCCACAGGCAGTGTTTAACATCTTAAAAATCACAGCACATAAGCTGTCTCTACACCAGCAAAATGAAAGAGACATTTCAGCTGGAGCTTTGATTTCTATGGACAGCCAAACTAGATAATTTGGTCTAATTAAAAATGCTCTTGCAGCTATAGCAGGTTGTTACAAAGATCAAGAATACCAGAAAGATCTCACTAATTAACYTCCTTCCAGCTTTCTTTGGTCAAAAGGAGAGCACCCTTTATCARTGCCAAAAAATGCAGGAGCTGCTGTGCTGGAAAGAAACCCCATCCAGGGATCATGGTCTATGCTACTYAGGGGGCTCTGAGGCTCCCATGCTCTAGAGACTGGCTGCTCCATAGGCCAGCAGCATAAGCATTACCTCTGAGATAGTTAGAAATGCAGACCTACTAAATCAGAATCTTTAAATTATCAGGTCCCTAAGTGATTTATAGGCATATTAAAGTTTGAGAAGAAATGCTAGACCACAGTATCACTTTGCTTCTTGCTTTCTTCCATGCTTAAGAATTTTTAATCTATTTTATGTGGCTACTACCTTCCAATGCTTTAAATCCAAACCAGGAGCCCAAAGGGCAGGGAATCTCAGCTGCTGCCTGCATCAGTCCTGATTCCTCCTGCCAAATGACTGGAGAGCCAAGAGAGTCCAGCCAAAGGCTCTATATGTTTAGATTTATGCATTCCCACTTTCCTGGGGGTGAGAAGAAATAGGGAGATTCAGCATTTCCCTTGGCTAATTATTAGAGAGGAGTTGGGATTCCTTTTACAGGAAACAGATAAGGTTTTCTATGTCTGTTCTTTATTTCTTTTTAAAAATATTTTAAAATTGTAGATAAACATAATGCTTTATTTTGTTTATTTAGTTTTATGTAATGCTGGGGATTGAATCCAGGGCCTCACACATGCTAGGCAAGTGCTCTACCACTGAGCTACAACCCCAGCCCCTCTGTTTCTCTTCTTTCACAAACTCACCATCTCTGGTGATACCATCAAAGAATAAAGAGGCAATGTATTTCCAGAAGGAAATGACTCTCATCTCCCCACCCAAGCTAATGTCAAATCCAAGGGAATTCTTGCCAAATGTGGGATTCATAAAGAGATGGGACTTGGGATGTTTGTGTTCCAGATGGTTYACTTTTTGCTGTTTTCTCTCTGGGGTCATCTTTTTTTTAGCTACAGCTTTAACAGTTGGCTATGGAGAAGGAAGGGAAAGAGGAGTAGTTCCTAGGTGGAGCAGTACACCTGCCCATGGCAGCAGGTTACAGGACAGTGCCAGGCAGCTATACCCACTTCTCCCATCTGTATTGGGGCAGGACATCTCCTGAGTCAGGACAAAATTATAAGTGGTCTGCAGCATAGACAGTTTATGAATTGACTGTGGTTGGACTGGGAAGGTTTCAGTAGAGACAAGAAAGCTGCTGGTCAATCTGCCCTACTGTTGGTGAATCATTCATATAAGAAGAATGGTTCATTAATATTATGGTAAAAGAAAGGACCATTAGCTCAAAGAATGACTTGCAATTGTGATAACCTGGAGTCATTTTTTAAAAAATTAATTTATGCCTGGTCAAGTCCCTTCCCCTCTCTGGACCTCAGTTTCTCTATCTGTGATGGAAATTGAAGAATTAAATATTTCCAATGTATTCTGCATTGATATATGCCCAGAGTATATTTGTTAGTTTTCACAATCAGTCCATTAAATATTTATAATGCTTGGAGTTATAGGCTCTTAAGTGACTCTTGGTGTTTGATAATAACCTACCTCCTACTTTCTGATTGGGACCATTTTAACAGATTTTAATTTGTATATTTATATCCCAAATCATGCCCCAATCATTAAAAGAGTAGAGAGAGAAATCTTTTCAACATGCATGTCATTGGGTGCAGTGTGATGTGTCAGGAATTCAATAAATATGAATATACAGAAGTATTGTAGCCAAGTCTCTCTCTGGCTTTCATCCTCTGCTACCTTCCTCAATGTAAGGCTRTACTTTCTCTTGTTTAAAAGAGAGGAGGCCATTTTGAATAAAAAGAGTCACCAAACTTCTTATTTGACATGGTGTAGTAGATTTTATTTGGTTACTAGGCATCAGGAGCATAGTCACAAATTCTGTTTTTCCCTGAATTCCTAATTCAGCCCTACTGACTTCTCCTAACCACTTTTCCTTTAGGTCACTGACAAGAACTGGCCCCACTGCATAATTCCTTGCTTTCAGTTAAGGRCATGTCCTCACTGTGCAGAAGGTGGCTTCTAGGGTGTCTCTATGTCTCCTTTGTTTGCTGTGGCTGCTGTAGTCCAGATCCTACATTGACTTCTCCAGCCAAGCTCTGCTTTCCTGCCCATATACTCTTTCCACTCTCAGTGCTGAGAAAGGTAGTTAATGCTTGAAGGAAAACTAACAAATTACTCTCCTCAGTGGAAGGAGTCCCCTTAAAACCTTCTGATAGAGGTTGGGGGGTATAGCTCAGTGATAGAGCTCCTGCCTGTCTGTAGCATGTTAGAGGCCCTGGGCAAAACAACAACAAGTACTAGTACAACAACACCTTCCCTAACCCCCAACTACCACAGAAAAGTCACAGTATGGACAATCATTCATATCCAAATTCAGCTTGACCAGTGTTTGATAAGGTTGCCAAAGTGGATCTTTTGGTCCAAACTATCACATTTGGATAAACCTGGGTAAGTGGAAAATTATTTCAAATCTTCATGTCACTCTAATCTTTTCTTTTAGATCCCAATCAGGGTAGTGAATGTAGCTCAAAGTGGTACAGCACTTGCCTRGCATGTGTGAGGGAGGCTCTGAGTTCAATCCTCAGCACTGAAAAAAAAAATTCCAATCATTATTTAATAATGCCTCCAATCATTTATTCAGATCTTGGAAGTCAGGTTCAACCCTTTCCCCCTCTGGAACAGACGTCTAAGCCTCAGGAAAAAGAGACAACTTCTTCCCTAGCCAACTTTACCCAAATATTAGGAAAATAAGGAAAGTTATTTCTAATATATTCAACTGTAAACCTTTCTGGTATAGTTTTATTAAT